ATATAATGGTTAGGTCCCCTCTCCTCTCCAAATCGTTTTGGGTTGCTCCATTGACGGCCGATTATTTTGTGAGGAGCAAGGAGGTGAATATCTTGCTGATAATATTCATACATAACAATGTTTTTCGCGGGTATGAATTTCGAACTGTTAATTATTATATGTGATTCTTGTTTTTAGCATGATAATTAAATAATTACCACACACCACTTCACATTATAAACCTTAAACATGTTAAGAAACATCAGATTGCGATCAAATACATAATTGAATATAACCAACGTAGAGCACAATCTAATTCAACAATTTTTACATCGTCCAAAATAACGACACGTGCCCACTTTGCCCTTAATGCGATTTTCGAAACATTGCTACTCCTCTACAACTGCACCGGCTTAATGCCTCTATTGGCATAATAGAGTATTTGAAATGAAAGGACTCATTTTCTTTTATAATAGTTTCGCCTCTCTCCTACCCGTTTTGGAAAGGGAAAATACGCTCTATATTTTCCAACTTACAGGTTGCAGCAATGTAGCGCTAAAATCAGTTCTCATGCTTTATCATCATGGAACCACCATCTTGTCTCCTTGGGAGATCTGCCATTCCTACAATTCTTCACGTAACGATCATTGTCTGCTGGGCGTTGCTGCACGAACATAAAACTTAAATGATTAATGTTATGGGCACAGACAAAGAACCACACTTTGACAACTTTAAAACTGAACAAACCTTTTCTGGTGAGCTTGATAACATGGAGAGAATGCTGATGCAAATCGAACTAACAGTCATAGCTGGTGACCATGAGTCGTATAAAATATCTGTAAGGACAGCCGATAGTGGACAAGATATTAAAAACAAACTACCTTAAATAAGGAAGGGACGAACTGTAATATTTTTGCAGAATTAAATTGTGCTGTGTCTGCGTGTGTGTGTATAACTCTAGAAGCCAATTCTTGAACAATTTAACAAGGTCTTATGACTATTATCACATACTTAGCGATATTAGGTCAGCTATATGAATAATCTTCTTCTGCTCGACTCCATGAAGCCATTTCCAAGATTAAATGAAAAAGATTGGTTTCTTCTAAGCCCGTGTCATTTTAGACTTTTAGGTAAATCTCTTCCCTTTCAATTACCTAATCCATGTAATTCTAATTTAGCAAATCAATTGCAAGTCATCATGCAGAATAGCTTCATGTAACAGTCAAAACTAAAATAATTTGACTGAGAGAGATCAATACGCAATTTTTTACCATCAGCCAGCTCGGACCAAAAATGTAAACCTCACTCATTGTCCACTCACAATATTATGCTACAAGCCTACAACATACATTACATTTAATCCCTATAAAACACGGGGCCAAAACCACATAAAAGATTTCTTAGACTTGAGGTAATTTCTTCAAATAATGGTAGAGCAAATGTTTATTGTACATAAATTATTCAGAAACAGCATGGCTACAAATTACAATGACTACTCTAAAAATTTAAACTAGGTCAGCAAGAAATGCAAATAATTCTTGGAAATGTCTTTTCTATATTTCGGTCTTCCTCTCCTTGTAAGCAAACTATTGTAAACAGATGTAAAATCGCACAAGCTGAGTACACATGATGCAGAGAACTCACAAAAAAAAAAAATCATAGCTAGGACCCAAGGCAAAAGGCTTTCCAGTATGATACTTATCATGTAAACTAACAAACTTATTTCACAAGTCAATATGGAATTAAGGGTCTCAATAATTACATCTAATGGATCAGACAGCTCAATACGCATAATCAACTGATTTTACCAATTGTATGCTTCAAATACAAGAAAAGGGGAGTTAAAGACAGTACTGATCGATACAATAATTTGAACAGATAACACCATCAAAACTCTAGCACTTTGTTGGTATTAAGGTGGCGGAATCATAATGATTTTTCCTTGGGCTTGATGTGCCATATTTTCCTTAAGAATTACTTACCCTCGCACATTCTCAACATGTATATGCACCAAAAAATTGGGGTTGAGACAAATCAATAAGCGAGTCTCACAAGCAAAGAAGCCTTGTTATCCATGGGCAAGATGTAATAATTAGTAAGTGAAACTTGGGTGGATAAAAGTTGCAAAAGATGACAGAAGTTGGCTCTGTGAAATTAGTAAACTGCTGATCCTTTTCTTAGTGTTTGCTGACACACTTAATTTTTTTAAACACAGTGAAGTGTCCTTAAAATACTCTGCTCCTCAATGAAATGAAAGTACCCGTAAAAGCAATAAAAGCCATATTGCGAACTATCAATTTCACATCTTGAATTTAGAGCTCGTTTGGAAGGGAGGCTTCTCCTTTTGCTCCTGCTTCTTGTAGAATACAAAGTACCTCCACAAAATTATCCAAACATGTTTATAAACAGCTTCTTAGTCTTGGAAACAGTTTTTAACTTTTCAAAAGCCCTGCCAAACGGCCATTAATCTACCATACCTGCCTAAACCATTTGCACTACTTCCAAGAAATGAATGGCCGCCTATTTTTTTTCTTTCGTTCTTTAGGAAGGACCAATGTCAATTTTTATAAATAATTATTAGAAAGAACAATTTAACAATTTCAAGCTCAACGATCAACAGTCACCAATCACTAGGCCAAAGCCAGGTCCATATAGGGAAGCAATAAACAAAACTAGCTCAATATAGATAAAAATTGATCAAAAGTAATTCTAATTCAAAGAGAACAGAGAACCAGACCTAAACATATATGCCCATTGCTATAAATGTGAGGGTGAAGTGGAGCTGGAGGTATAAATATAACCTGCCCAATCATACGCGGAAAAATCACAATATCAACGAACATAAATACTAATAGCAGCCAAACCCTATAATAGTAATATCAATTACATTATCAAGAAAAAAATTTCAACTTCTCCATTGATCACAAAAAAAAAAAAATGTAGAAATAAAATCATCAGAAAATTTCACCTGAGGGGCTTCCATAGGGTAATGCTCTGGAAAATCAACTTGAAGCTGGTACGTTTCGCCGGCATATAGAGTACCCGGAGCGCCGTTGACTTCAATTACCCATCTAAAACATCGAAATCAATTAATTATTAGCAGTATTTTCCAATCTCTAATCTATTAAACAAAACTCAAATCGAAAATTCAAGGAAATAATGAATATAAAGAGGGGAAAAAAAGAAAAAATAAACCTCTGGAGATTATCGGTAACTTTATGCTTGAAACCCACAGGCGGATTCACCTGCCACTCCATCAGCTCTTTCTGTAGCCGATTACTCGCGATCTTGCTTAAAGACGCCTATTTTTCACATTTCAATTCCACAAAAATGAACAAAATAAAAAAAACACATCTCGACTAAAATATGCAATCACATATACATATATATTCAATAAAATTTAAAAGTATATATGTGAAATTGAGACCTTGCGTGCAGAAGAGGAGCATGAAGTCATGGCGTCTAAAATATTCTAGAGAGAGGGAAGTGGTGATGTGGAGTTGTAGGAATAGTTCACGTAATTTGATTGGACTTTGGAGTATTATGTATGGGGAATTTCACCACTGGTCCTCAACCTATTGTTATATTATTAAATTAATCCATAACTTTTAAATATAACAAGTTGATCGTTAATGTTTCGATTCAGTTGTACAATTGGTCTAACAATTTCCACATACCGAAAGTGTACAAATCTTTATTACAGCATTATATTGGCCTCATATATCTATCTAATTTTATGGAACTGAGTTATACCAATAATTTATAAACATGTCCGAAGAGCGACTTCACAAAAGTGAAGAGTCAAAGATCGATCCTTTATATATTCTAATGAATTGTAGCTTTTCACTTTTTACATAGAAGTTCATTAGATTTTAAGCCCCTGTTTGGTTTGGTTTGGTTACAAATCATACTTTTAACATATTTTGATAAAGTTGACGTAATTGAAAAATTAATAAAATTTTTAAGTCTCATAAAATATGTGATTAAAAAGAATTTGAAGAAAAATAAGTTTAAAGGCTAAACGAGGACTTAATTTTTTCGATCGAGTCAACCAGTCGAGTTCAGTTTGACAATATTGAAGTTTTACTTCACAACTTAGATTGGGAATTAACTCGGAAAGGGTGAATGGTGGAATTGACATCGAAATGGTACAATCGTCAGTTTCAAGATTTCAAAGCAAAATACAAAAAGTGTATAATTTTACAGAAAATTTGATGAAATCAACTAGAAGAATGTACATATTACAAATAAATTGATCCGAGCCCAACATAAAGGAAAGATACAGCATCATAAATCAAGCAAGTTCTTCGTTCCAATCCACACTTGAAAATCACCGTCAATACCTCAGTGTTGGTTTGGAATAATCCTTTGTTAACATGGCATTAACTAAGTCGAACGCAAGGTTCTAGACCCAGGCGCGGTCAAGCTCCCACTCTCGGACATATAGAAGTAGTTGTAGTTAATACGAGTTACTAGAGCTGCCAAATGAGGAAATTGCCCCACGTTGAGTTTGACAGATAGAATCTGCAAAACCAAATATAAGATCATCAAAATCATTCTTACGGGCAAAACCAGCATCTCCCAACCATCACCGCCACTAACAAATCTCCAACTATCCAAAGAATAAAACAAACCAAAAAGTTCGAAGGGTTCATTTACACTGCGTTCTAATCCTTCATCTCTGATCATGAACTGTAGGTGATAAGGTTTTTGATCGGAGGTTCAACTAAGATGACACCTGATTTGAGAGGGAGGGAGGGAAGGGAAGGCAATAGATGCAAGAAATAGAATGAGAACCAAGTTTTGTGTGTATACACAAGCATACTCTCTCCATAACATACGCGCAAACACACTTCAGATGGTGGAGTATATATGGTATGACTGTATAAGATTACAATGATGAATGAAGACGTAATAAGACTGTACAGGAAATAGAGAAAAGAATTTACATAATTTATCCCCCAAAACTAGAGTTGTAGGGGCGTTGTTGGAGGTAGAAACTAAAATGAGAGAAGAAAGTAAAAAAAATTGGTGGAAGATGGACAAAGATAAGATAATGAAATTGACCAAGTCAAAGAACGAACTTGTCAAGATATAAGTTGAAAGTGAACAACGGAAATTCTTCATAAATAGAATATGATGTGATAAACACTTGCCTATTCTTGTTTGCAGAGCGTGGGTGACACTTTTTATGAGAACTAGATATAACGAGGGACACGAGGGGTCATGGTGGGCATTTTCCCCCTTTCACTGTTTAAAGCAAAATCTGCTTACACAATTACAAAGAACTTCATACGAGTTATCAGAAATTGACAAAGAATACCCTGAGAAGGAATGCCATGCAGTCATCAAACTGTTTCTCTATCAGGTCCACTTCCTTCTCACATTTTGCTTTGATTGCAGAAATTGCTCCACCGCTGCTTAGATTCTGTTGTACGGAATAGAAATCCAGAGCTATTCCAAGGATATTGTTAATGCGGCTGGAAATTAAGCCCCACTGCATGCACGAGTCAGTCAGTTGATGTTCACTATATTTCACAAGGTCAATTCAATGAACGTATAAAAGAGAAGGATGGGGAGAAGACCAGATTGTCTGGAACAACAAAGCACTGCCGCTGAATTGACAACAAATAGGACTCGTGTACTTCAATGGCTTCATCCAAAGTTCCAGCCACAGCCATATGTTCACAGAGTTCACGCCATGCATTATGATATACCTGTTCATAATATCCTGGTTATAGACTGTAACTAGCAGAAATACTTATCAACTGAAAATTAATAATAAAAATCAATAATTAAAAAAGTGCAAGTTCAATCATCTGTGTGTGCAGAAAAGAAATCCAAAACATTGCCTCACTTGCAGGCATGCCTCACGATACAGTTCTTTTGTGCCTTCAAATACTACAAGCTCTTAATAATCCTAACCAAAATACCTAGAAGAGCATTTGCGAGTTTCAAATTAGTATGGAAATCTCTACAGCAACATCTGTGGTTGGAACTTCTTCACAATCTTAGGAATTGTTTCAAACATTCTTTAAACCGTACCAGAAGAAGCTCCAGTTGCTTAAATCAGTCGAAAAATCAGATTTTTAGTAGATTTTAATAAACGTTGGTGAAATGTGAGGTTGAAAAGTTGATAAAAGTTGTGGCTCCCCTGAAATATTCGGTTGAAATTGAGTTTCGGAAAAGTGAGTTTCAAGAATGGAGGCAAAACATGGGTATACACATTACGACTCTCAGTCTCACACTTCGATAAATAGTTGCAAGCCAAACTACGAAATCAAATCAGAACAAACACTGGGGAAGAACAACAATATCATTAACCACTGATGAAATCTACAGTTCAGCACTAAAAGACAGGATACCCAATTATGTTAGTTAAAGGACATTATAAAGCATAACAAGCAACTCAAACCCAATAATCACAAATTTAAAATGTCCAAAAATTCATTACTCTGTCCATAACATATTGATGAAAAGCATCCACAAAATGGAGGAGTTTTTGCTCTAGCAACCAGTGGCGCTTGCGATTGGTTGTTGCAGTGCCTCTATCCTGAAAGGTTCAAAGGAGAAATATCAAATATCTTATTGGTTTTAGATAAAACCCGCAATTGGCAGTAAAAATGGATTTACCTTCCACATCCACCTCCTAGCCTTATCCAGCACAAATTTAGCTCGTTTGACCTTCAACAAGAAGATCATAACCTGCAGAATATACAGATAGAATTACCAAGAATAATTAACTGTAGCAACTTGAATGCAAAGTAGTCAGAGAGCCACCTGATTATATTTCTTCATTGCTTCCAGGTTAGCAATAAGTTCAAGTGGCCAAGGGATCTATTGCATTGCATTAAAATTTGAGTAAGAAATTCTACCAAGATGCAGTTTGATCTACAACTTTGCTAACAAAAGAGAGAATTTAAGAGTGAATAATCCTAGTCCATACCTTGTATGAGAACTTAAGAGAATCAAGGACATCCATTCCAAAGCTCTGACTACGATCTTTACGGGGAGTTGAGATTGACATGGACATATTATACTGATCATCTTCACTGGAACCAGGATTTTTTGTCATAGACACAACCAACAAATCTGGTGTACTAAGTAGTACGTTATCGGCAGAGTTCCTAATTGACTCCTGAAGTAAACTAAACAGCATTAATGTGCTAGCGGCACTCAACGTTGGTAATATCTAGAACAAAATGTCAAAAAAAGTTAAGCAGAAAAATTATCAAATGGCTTCCATGCTGTTTTTAAAAGGATTGACAAAAAGGTGTGCCGCAGAGTCTGATACTCGTTGAACTAGTAAGCTTCTTAAGAAAAATAAAATAATTCATCAATCCATCAAGTTATCAGAAGGACACTTGACACTTTTTGGCTCCATGTTTTTACCAAAGTAAACCATAAAGTCTGAGCAAAGATATGGCTCCCGAGATATCTAGAACAGTGTGTCAAAAAAAGTTAAACAAAAAATTATTAAATGGCTTCCATGCTTTGTATAAAAGGATTGATAAAACGGTGTGTTGCAAGGTCTGATACTCGTTGAACTAGTAAGCTTCTGAAGAAAAATTAAATAATCCATCAAGTTATCAAAAGGACATTTGACACTTTTTGGTTCCATGTTTTTTATCAAAGTAAACCATAAAGTCTGAGCAAAGATAAGGTTCCCAAGATGCAGCCGGCCCATAGGCACCCCCAAAAGTGGGTTGGTCTATTTGATACCTCTAGTTACGAGAATGGACTACTTTACACTTACAAAAGGTATGTGGAATTTCATATATTTCAGTGATAAATTTTAAAGATTACAACAACAAATATATAGGAAGTAAATTTCTCCTCTAATTATGCCCTAACATGTCTCCTCTAATTATGCTAAAGAGGTCAACAATACTTTTTTTTTTGAAAGGTAAAAGAGGTCAACAATACAATAAATGAAAACAGTAAATTACAGCCATTTTCCACAGTTCGACATGGTAAGAACTGGAAAGCTACAAGACCTAGTAATTCAGGGTTTAATTGCTGATTTGCACCTGCAATATTGTGTTCAACTCAAAATCGTCATCCAAGTATTCTCCTTTGTCTACCTTAGTGAAAATCACTGTCAAGAAATGCTGCAGAAGATCACCTGTTCATAGCAAGGTTGCTGTCCTGTCAGACAAACGAATAAAATCTCATTTATAAAAGTCTGGACTGCTTGGATCAGATGATACCTGATCCAAAGAAATATATGGCACGCAACACCCCTAGCTCATCTAACAATCTCCAATCATGCAGTAATTTTGACAACATATTCTTCCCAATATGATCAGTCTGCACGTGTAAAATGCAAGAATCTGTAGCATATTTTTACATCAAAGGCATGTATAACTAAAGCACTGTGAGTTATTAATATTATTCATCACCTACCTGCTTTTTGATATAGCTGATAAGGCATTCCTGAAGAATTACAGCAGGAAG